TGTGTGTGTGTGTGTGTGTGTGTGTGTGTGTGTGTGTGGCAATTGGGGTTAAGTGATTTGCCCAGAGTCACACAGCTAGTGAGTGTTATGAGGCCAGATTTGAACTCTGCTTCTCCTGACTCCAGGGCTGGTGCTCTATCCACTGCCCCACCAAGCTGCCCCACCAATACCCTTATTTTCCAGATGAGGAAACTGAAGCCAGAGAAGTGATGTGAATTGTCTGAGACTACTTGGGTAGTAATTGGTAGAACCTATGTCTCTGGAGGCCTTCCCTGCCCCCCACCCTATGACTACAAATCCAGTGTTCTTTCTATTTCAAAACTCCTGCCTGGTATTCCCAGGATAACATAGGATCATCTGTTTCTGTATATTTGTATTCTAAAAGTCATCAATCACAAAACCTAAGGAGGAAAGAAAGGATGGAGCATCCCAAGATGCCCTGTTTCATAAGGGCACGTGGGGGGCAGGGGTGGAGAAGCAAAGCCCTGAGCCCTGGCATGGTCTCCCTGCTTTGTGGTCTCACCCTTGTCAACTCGATCCTTTCTGCCCAACCACTTCCTTTATTCTGCCCATGCCCACACTTGAGAGCTTAGCATGGCTCCCTTGGGCCTGGCTTTCTGCCCTAGCATGCCACCAGGGGCTCTAATGTGGGGAGGGATCCATGGGAGGTCAGAAAAAGCTAGTCATGTGGTGGGGAAGCCTCAGGCCCCTGCCTGTACTCAGCACATGTATGGCTAATGGGATTTATGAAAGCCAGGCCTTCCAAGAGTTAGCAACTCTGAGCGACACAAGGACCAATCGGGATTCCAAAGGACTCAAGGAAACATGCCGTCTACCTCTAGACAGAGACTGACGGAGGCCTGTTTTCTCTCTGTCTGCCTGTCTCTGTCTCTATCCCCTTTCTTGTTGGACATGGTGGCCTTGTTTTGCATGCCGTCTACCTCTAGACAGAGACTGACGGAGGCCTGTTTTCTGTCTGTCTGCCTGTGTCTGTCTCTATCCCCTTTCTTGTTGGACATGGTGGCCTTGTTTTGCACAGCTCTACATGTTTGTAATGTATTGCTTATCTTCTAAATGGGTAGGGAAGGGGGAGTAGAGAGGGAGAGAATTTGGACCTAAAAATAAAACAAAATTGAAGAAAAAGGAAAGTCTTCCAGAACCAAGGAAAGCCCGAACAAAGACCTTTGAGATTCTCTTATCCTGGGACCGTGTGATCACAGATCAGCTCTATAGGGCTGGAAGGAGCCTTGGAGACCATCAAGTGTGACGCTGGCATTCAACAGATGAGGAAAGTGAGCCTCCCAGCAGCTGCTCAGGGTCACTAAAGAAGCCCATGAGCGCCAAATAAGGCTCGGGGAGCAAAGAGGCCTGGACAGATGGAATCCATGGTTCTCCAAGCTGCAGAAAGGCACTAGCTGGTGAGAATGCCTGCCCAGCCCCACAGATCTTGCCTAGCAGGACCACGGCTTCATCCTAGATTCTTTACAAAGGTGTTTACCTGTTGGAAAAAACAGACAAACAAAAATCAATTTCACACTGTGGTAGACAGAAAAAAGCCATCCCTCCACCAAAGTCCTCTTCAGACAGAGTGTAAGCTCCTTGAGGGTAGGGTCAGCTTCATTTTCTGCCTTTGTAGCCCCAGCATCTAGCAGAATGCTTGGCACACAGTAGGCTCTTAGCCACTGCTTACTGATGGGGCCTATTGTTTCATCGTGGTGTATAAGTGACCCTGAGTCCTTGAAAGCCAAGTCCTCAGAGAGGGATGTTCAGGTCCTGCTAAAGCCTAAAGGTTTTGAGTAGGAGCCACCATGGACCCATCATGGAAGCATTAGCCGAGCTGAGTTCGCAGAGGCTCACCGCCATCACCAGCTACGGGATTGGGGATGAATTTCCCAGCCGTGGTGCCTCACAATCACCAGGTACGAAGGCATTTGTGACCGAAGGCAGTCCACATGGATAGAATCCTGGCTCCCAAAGCCCTGGCAGGACAGGACTAGTCAGGCTAGAGGCATCTTAGCAGAGCCCAGAAGTTTGACAGAAGAAAGAGAAAACAATTTGTTTCTAGGCATAGTGTAAGGCAAGTGGAGGACGGAGTGGAACAGAGAGAGCCTGAGTCCACACTGCCTGGGTCCAGAAAGCCCGGATGCTTCAATGGACAAAATAAATGGGGATGATGACAGCTCTATTAGTCAATCGCTTCTGAGAAGACAGCATTGGAGGAAACGGGAAGCCCATGCCCTGCTTTCTTTGACCCAGACAGCAAGGGCCATATTGTCCTGCAGATGGAGAATTGTTATGGATTCAGCACTGGAAGGGGCTTTGGGGTCCAGCAAATCAGTCCAATCCCGTCCCTGGCAGATCAGACAAGGGAGGCTCACACAGTCAGGAAGTGCAAAGGCAGGATATGAATACAGATCTTGCCTCTAAACCCAGCACTCTCTCCTAAGTGACTCAAAGTGACACTAAGTCTTTTGGTCTCTCTCTTTTCAGGTGAAAGCCCAAGGAAACCCTGGGATCATCAGGTTTAGAACTAGCAGGAAGTTTAAAGGTCATCTGGTCTAATCCTCCCATTTTACAGATAAAGAAATGGAGGCTCAGACAGGGGAAACGACTCATCCAAGTTCACACAGTGCCTGGATCTCCAGGTGTTCATTTTTAGAGATCACCCTTTCCCTAAGCAAAGCAGGGGGCTCAGGACAATGTTAAATGTCTACTGTAAGTCAGAGGTCAGAGGTAGAGCCGTGGTGACCTTTGTCATGAGCTCCTCTTGCCTGGCTGCCTCCTCAGAAAAATCCTCATTGATGTCCAGCACCAGCACAGGGGCCTTCTTCAAGGTCTCAAAGTGGAGCCTGCGGGAACCAGACGTACGGGAGAGGCTGAGAGGTAGTCGTTAGAGCATTTCTAGAATGGGGGTAGGAACTGGGAGGGGAGGGGGAAGAGGGATGGAGGAGCAATCTGGCCTTGGAGTCAGAGGCCCTGGGGCCAGATCTTGCCTCCTGCCATTCAGTAGCTGTGGGACCTTCAGCAAATCATGGCAGGTCTCAGAGCTTCAGTTTCCTCACTTGTCAGATGGACAGGTTGGATGAAACGGCCTCACAGTCCCTTCTACCTTGATCCTAGAGTTTTCATCTGGACAAACAACAAGGAAACAGGCTTTTTTTTTTTAAAGTGTTGGGATTGCTTTTGGGGTCTCTGACATTGTTGTTGTTCAGTCATTTTTCAGTTGTGTCTGACTCTTCAAGACCTCATTTGGGGTTTTCTTGTCAGAGACACTGGGCTGGCTTGCCATTGCCTTCTCCAGTGTCTGAGGCTGGATTTGAACTCATAAAGACTCCAGGCCTGGTGCTCTAACCACTTTGACACCTAGCTGCTAAAACCCAAAGTCACTGGGAAGGAGTGGATGCTCTCCCAAGGTGGACAAAAATTAAGCAAAACCTTGGGAGGTCAAATAAGCAAAATTAATTCCAAGACCAGAACTTTGGGTGATGCGAGAAAAGCTAACAAATAGTCAACTGGAATGTACGGAAACCACCAAAAGGGTGGCTGTGCATCTCCATACACTCATTTCAGACAAACCAGTCAGAAACTGCTGGGACAGTTCTAAGTCTGGATCTTGGGGTGGCCACAACCAACCAATAGGAATCCTAAGAGCCAGCATCATCTGAAGGCACTTGAAGGCTCTAAAACACTTTACATGTGTTCTATGCTATCTCACTTGAGCTCTGTAACAACCCTGTAAGGTGTTATTATTAGCCCATTTTTACAGATGAGGAAATGGAGGAACTGAGAGGTGAATTTACTTGCCTTTTATCATAGATTGAGGTCTAGAAGTCAGGGGAGGGGGGGCGTCTCCAATCGTCCTGATCTACATCTGGCCACTGGACCCAGATGGCTCCAGAGGAGAAAGTGAGGCTGGTGACTTTGCACAGCCTTCCCTCACTCAAATCCAATTCACTTGCAAGTCATGGCATCACCTTCCTGATGTCATGGTCTTCTTTGAGAATGAAGGGCAAACAAGAACAGATCTAGAAGGGACCCTAGAGGAATCTGAGGAAATTAAAGTGATTTGTCCAAGGTCATGCTGCTAATAAGACACATGGCAGATGGCATTGTTGACCCTGGAGTCACCACCTCTGACATTTATTAGATGTGTGACCCTATGTAAGTCACTTGACCTCTCAATTTCCTCAGCTGTAGAATGAAGAGCTGGAACCCATCTATTTCTATGGTCTCTTCAGCTCTTAATCTCTGGGATGGCCGTCAAATGCAGACCATGCTGACTCCAAGGCCAGTGCTCTCTACTCATCTGCAATACTGCCATGACAGAAGTAGTGTCCTTGCTAAGCAAGCGGTCCATGGGACAGCCGTGCATGCCACTTACTCAGTCACCTTATGGATGAACCAATCTTCATGCTGAGCATGGAGTTGTTCAAGGTAGCCCAGCTGGACGCCCTTCTCTTCAGCCCTGGCTCGCTGCCGGAGTCTCTTCAGACATACCTAAAAGAAATCCCAAGCTCTATCGGCAAGGCTAGGACAAAGCTCTTTTCCCTTCCCTGTTTCTGTGATCTTTGGCCAGGACTGAATTACAGACCTTTCAAACTCATCAGAGAATTTAAGGGTTGGAAGGGATCTTGGAAGTCCTATCTAACCCCTACTTGAAAGAGGAGTCAATTCCTTCTAAAACTCCCAACAAATGCTTGTTCAAGCTCTTTAATGGTGGTGAACTCATCACCTTAGAAAGTATCCTAGCCCACTTTTGGACGGCTAGAATTGTTACAAGGTTTTTCCTCGTGGTGAAATGAAACCATCCTCTTAGTAATTTGTATCCTTTGGTTCTGGAGTCAGAAGGCCTGGGTTCAAATGCTGCTTCTGATGCTAGCTACCCACGTGACCTTGGACAGGTCAGATCTCTGGGCTGCAGTGAATCCATCTTAAAATAAGGGTGTTGAACTAGGTGGCCCCTGAGACCCCTTCTGTCTCCAGATTCTATGAAAATCTGAGAAGCCAGAAGAGAAGCTGCCATCTTGATCCTCATTCACTTAAATGTGATCCTGTTAATTCTCCCATTTGAACGTAAGCTCCTTGAAGGCAGGGACTCCGCTCTCCTTAGCATCCACAGCACTTACTAAATCCTTACTAAACAAATGCTTGGTGATTGGTTGGCTATGTCATTTTTGTCTTTGTTTCTCCTGAGCCGAGCAAAAGTCCGATCTGTTGTTTTAGCTGTTTCAGTTAAGTCCAACTCTCCTCGACCCAATCTGGGGTTTTCCTAACAAAGCTACTAAAGCGGTTTGCCATTTCTTTCTCGAGCTCATTTTCCACTTGAGGAAACTGAGGCAAACAGAATAAAGTGACTTGTCCAGGGTCACATAGCTAGTAAGTATATCAGCCCAGATTTGGACTCAGGAAACTGAGTCTTCCTGACTCCAGGCCTGGCACTCTATCTGGTCTGCCACCTAGCTGCCCCTAAAATCACATCAACTAGACATTTAACAAATGTTCACTGATTGATTCTAATTAGGATTAGGCTCCAAATCCTGGCTCTGACACTTATTACCTGTGTTCTTTTGGACAAATCATTTAACTTCTCTGGGCCTCAGTTTCTTCCTCTGTATTAATGAGAACTATTGATGAAATGGCGGCAGCTATCTGACACAGTAGATAGAATGCCAGGTCTGGAGTCAGGAAGACTCTTCTTCTTGAGCTCAAATCTGGTCTCAGATCTTTACTAGCTATGTGATCCTGGGCAAGTCACTTAACCCTGTTTGCCTCAGTTTCCTCATCTGTAAAATGAGCTGAAATGAATGAAATGACTGAACAATAACAACAACAATAATGAAATGAGGCCCTTCTACCTCTAAATTAAATCATCTCACCGGTCATCCCTTAGCTATTCTTAGGTAGCACAGTGAATGGAGTACAAGACTTGGAGTCAGGAAGATTGAAGTCAAATCTTGCTTCAGATACTTCCTAGCTCTGTGATCAACCCTGAACAACTCACTTAACCTCTGTCTCCCTCAATTTCTTCATCTTTAAAATGAGGATAAAAATGGCATCTACCTCACAGGGTTGTTGTGAGGATCAAACAAATCAACATAAGTAAACATCCTTCATCATCATTATTATTATTATCATCTATTATTTCTCCAATGAGCCTGCAATGCCTACTATTGAGCTGGGGAAAATAATCCTCCTTCATCGATGGACTTTCAGCTCCAAGAAGATAGAATAGGCCTGGTTTTCTTGGAGCTTACCTGCCCCATGGCTCATGGGGTTTCAGATCTAGGGCTGAAAGGGGTCTTTGAGGGTATCATTTAGCGCAGTTCTCTCCACAAGCTTTTTGAAGCGAATCGATTTATGATCATAAATGTTGAAGGGACAGTTGGTGCTTATAGGAGGGCCATCAAACCTTCACAAAGTACCTATCGTGTGCCAGACATTATGCTAGATTCTGGGGGTACAAAGACTACAGGGAAAGTGTTCCTAATCTCAGGTTTACTTTCTAAAGGGAGAGACAATTGGTCAATCAGTCAATCAACAAACAATCAATAGTATTTATTAAGCCCTAGTACATACCAGGAACTAGGCTAGGGGCCTTGAAGACCTTCTAACCTTTCAATTTGCAGAGAAGGAAGGATCATGGCAGCATCTGACTGCTCCCCACTTCCATATTTTATAAAGGAAAGTGAGTCCAAGAGAGTTGAAATCACCTTCCACTGGTCATATAGCCAGTTAGTGGAAAATCCAGGATCAGAATAATCAGAATATATATATATATATATATATATATATTTATATGCACGCATGCAGGCATACACACACACACACAGAAGGTCTAGTCAGTTCAGAAGACGTGAGTTTTATGATCTTATGATTACAATATGAATGGCCAAAATCTCAGTTTCCTTATCTGTAAAATGGGGATGATAATATTAGTACTAAGTGATTCAGCCTAAACATGGGCTATTATGATGGGAATTTTACTATTTGACTAGCTTTCACTTGCTAATCCATTGCTGACATTCTGGGAATGGCAATTATTCCTGGGCTGCTTTCCTTGGGCAGAGAAGGCAGCATCACAAAGACAAGGAAGAGAATATTTAATGGAGGCAGGAAAGACCATCCCCCCCTCCCCCCATTCCCTCCTAGCAGGCCAGACTCATTGCCCTGGGGCTGCAAGGGAAGCTGAGGTAATTGGGTCCCCGACCCACAACTGCCAGGAGCCAAAAAGGGAAATCCAGGCTTCAATTTCCCAAATGAAGGCAAGAGTTCCCCCCCGCCCCCCTCCATTTCCCAAAGGCCGCTTCCAGAGGGCCTGGCTGGGGAGGGGCTTTGGTTTTAGAAAACAGAGGATTAGATTCGGAGGGCCAGTGTTTGTGTTAACATAGGCTCGTGGTCTTAGAGCCAGCTAGAAGGGTCATCAAGTCATCTAGTCAAACCCTCTCATTTTATAGGTGAGGACTGAGTTGCCCACACCTCCTTTTGAGGTCTTTAAAGGGACACGCGACCGAGAAAGAGCAGAGCTAGTTCTGAATTCAGGTGCTCGGACCCCAAATTCAGCATCCTAGACTGCCTCCCCCACCCTCTTTCAGCTGATCTGGTTCAGATGACCCTGCTTGAGCCAACTCCTCCCCCAGCTCCACCCTCCTCCCACCTCAGGTCTCCGGAATTCTCTGAGCCCGAGTTCAGTGATACCTGGGGAGAAGCCTGAAGGTAGATAAAGCCATCCAGGAGAATTCGGCTGTGGAATTCCTGGAGAAGGAAGGAATGCCAATTCTGATAGACAGCCCACTCGACATCATTCAGAAAGCGATTTTCAAAGAGATTCTTGGCGAAGATGTACCTGGGTGGGGATGAGAGGTGGGGCACAGTGGGGAGAGGAAAAAAAGATGGAAGAGTGGGTAGAAAAACCAACCAGAAATCCAAAGGTGGGATAATAATAGCCCCTACCTCCCAGGGTCGTAAAGATCCAATGAGATAATACTTGTATAGCACTTTGCAAATTTTAAAGCACTATATATAAATGCTATTATTATTATTATTAGCCAGAGCTGGGTCTTGAACCTGAGTCCCCCATTCCTTATGCAGTGTGCAGCATTCTTCCCCAATACAAGGCTCCCTAGGTCAGGAATTAACCAACTCCTAAAACTGTCAACAAATAAAGGCCAATTCATCTGTGCAAACACTTAATCAGTACCTATTGAATTCCAGGCTCTGGGCCAGGGACTGGAGATATACAATAATGGTAAGAAGGAGAATGGCGTTGTTGTTGTTTAGTCATGTTGGGCTTTTTTCCATCCATGGGGTTTTTTCTTGGCAAAGATACTGGAGTGGTTTGCCATTTCTTTCTCCATGGGGTTTTTTTCTTGCCATTTCCTTCTCCAGTGCATCCTCATTTTTAGAGATGAGGAACGGAGGCAAATAGGGCTTAAGTGATTTGCCCAGGGTCACAGAGCTTGTAAGTGTCTGAAGCTGAATTTGAACTCAGAACTTCCTGACTCCAGGCCCTGTGCTCCATCTGCTGCACCATTTAGCTGCCCCAAAAAGGAGAATAGGGGCAGCTAGGTGGTGCAGTGGATAGAGCACCGACCCTGGAGTCAGGAGGACCGGAGTTCAAATGCGGCCTCAGACCAAACACTTGACACTAGCTGTGTGACCCTGGGCAAGTCACTTAACCCCAATTGCCTAAAACAAACAAACAAAAAAAAGAAAACAAAAAACCAAAAAGGAGAATAAAAAATCATATTTATATAGTATTTATACAGTATGGCAAAGTCTTCAAAACACTTTTATGTAGAATCTTGCACCTTTTAACTGCCCCCCTCCCCCAATATGCTTTGCCAGAGACTCCAGCATCCTTGGTGTTCAATGGAATCTCTCAGTTGGGCATTCTCTCTGGCTGTCCCCCATGCCTGGGATGTTTCTTTGCCTCCTGGCTTCCCTAAAGTCCCAGCTAAAGTCCCACCTCCAGGAAGTCTTTCCTCATTCCCCTTAATGCCAGCACCTTCCCTCTGGTGATCACTTCCATTCATTTATCCTGTCAATAGCTCACTGGTACATTGTTGTTTGCATGTTGTGCTTTTCCATTGTATCTCCACACTGGGTCAGTCACGCAACAGAGAGATCTTAAGAAATGTTTACTGACTGACTGACTGATTGACTTCAAGATTCAGTATAAACCCTATAAGAAGCTTTTCCTGCTTCCCCTAAGCTGCTAGTTCCCCCCCCCCCATAAATAAATGTACATGTTGCTTACCTAAGAGAATGCAAGCTCATTGAGGGCAGGTTTTCCCTTTTGTCTCAGTATTGCCAACGCTTAGCACAGAAGTGCTTAGCAAGTGCTTGAAATGGAAATACAGTACTTCACTTGAAATAATGCAGAAGATGTTGAAAAAGAGAGCAAGAACCCAAGTCCTACCTTCAAGGAGATTACAGTGTAATCGGAAGAGGAAGACACACAAATAACTATGGACTCAAGGGAAAGGCTGAACATGGAAAGGAAAACGGAAAATAAGCAAAGGAGAGAGCCAGGCAAAGTGCTTGGGAAAGCTGGGGACTCACAGCCAGGAGTTCAGGAAAGACTTTATGGAATCAAGAGCATCAATGAAACAATGAACCTCCCTGGCCTTCCCCCCCCCCCCCCCCCCTTGGCTCAGAGCAGCCCAAGGAAGCTCAGAAGGGGCCCCTCCTCTCCCTGCCTTCCCCAAGCAGGACAGGGCAGGGTGGGTACAACCATGTTATATTTAATTTACTTTAAAAAAACCCCCACTATATAATAGATTCACATTTTCATATAATAAACACGTAGATATATAAAGAAAAAGACTCCCTGGGGGTGGCAGCCCCTATGTTTGGCCTTGAAATAAGTGAAGAATTTCAATGAATGGAGATAGGGGTAGGAAGGGGAATTCTATTCCAGGCTCAGGGGAATTGCATCAGCAAAGACAGGAAGAGCATGGAAGATAGGACACAGGCGGAGGAGAGAACAGTTAGTCTGAACCACAGATAATATGCAAGTATAGAAAAGTCAGTTGGAGACAGCTAGTGGAGGACCTTGAATGGCAGGCTTAGGCACATGGACTGTACTGGGTAAGCAATGGGGAGTGACCTAATTAGGATGGGGCCTCAGGTGTGAAGGGTGTCAGGCAGAGAGGGCAGACTGGAAGCAAGGAGCCCAATTAGGAGCCTATTACTGATGTGTAGGGGGAAAGGGATGAGGGCTTAAACAAAGATGGCTGCAGAGGGAGCAGCGACAAGGGGTCAGATGTAAGAGATTCTGCCAAGGTCTAATGGACAGAATGTGGCACATGACTGGAAGTTGGGGGGTGGAGGGATAGAGGAAAAGGGAGAACAGTTCTAAGCCTTATTGCCTTTGAAGATACTGAAGCCATCAACAGAAATAGAGAAGTTTGCAGTGGGGAGGAGGGGGAGATAGATATGTGTGAATGAAAAAGCATCAGTAGGTGCTCGGTATTTTCCACATATATGTGTTATGCATCGGGATATACAAATACAAAAATAAGACAGAGAGTCCCTGCCTTCAGGGAACCTCCATTCTAATAGGCAAGGACAATGTAGCAGTCAATAAGCATTTATTAAGCATCTAAGGCATGCCAGTCACACTGCTAAGTTAGGGATAGAAAGCAAGGCAAAAACAGACCTTGCCCTCAGGGAGGTCACATTCTAATGGAAGAGAGAACACGTGAGTAAATAGATAGACACAAGACAGATATAGATTAGCTGGAAGGCAACTTTAGAGGGGGAGGCTGTCGAAGGCTGGGAAGGAGGGTTTTATTGTAGGAAGTAGTGGTGACAGGATCTATAGAGCAATTGATGAGGAGTACTTGCGATGCCGAGTGGGATGTGCCATTGGGGTGTCCAGATGGCTGTGTCCAGCAGGCAGAGGAAAAAAAAAAAAAAACAACAGCAACACAGGGCCAGCGTTCTGAAGAGAGTCTGAGATAGAAGATATAGACTTGGGAGTCATTCGTATACAACCGAAGCCATGGGGGTGGATGGGCTTGATAAAGTAAAGAGTAGAGAGATTAAGAGGCAGCTGAAGAAACAGACATCTGCGTTTAAGAATGAGGAGTCAGTTATATAGACAAAGAAGAGTCCCACCGGGAGGAGAACCGTGACAGAACAATGCCAGGGAAGCTTGGGGGAGGGGAAGGCATCCAGAAGGAGGACAGGATCCATCCTAAAAAGAAGTCAGGGAAGCTAAGTACAGATTTAGAAACTGAGCCAAGGAAAGCTAGTGACAGCAACTTAGGGTGTGAGACAGGATTCAAATCCAGCTCTTCTTGGCTCCAAAGTCAGTATTCTTTTCCTGACATTATGCTATAATCTCAAGGATGAGATGATGGGGCAAGACCTTCTCTCCTTGGATGCTGCCCCCATCCTGGTACAGGCCCTCATCACCTACCACCTAGATTATTGCCATAGGCTTTCCCAGCCTCGTGTGTCCCCACTATAGTCCATCCTCCACTCAGCTGTCAACTTGATCTTCCTGAAGTGCGGGTCTGACCATGTTACACAATAAGCTCCCTATGACCTCAGGATCAAATGTAAAATGCTCTGTTTGGCATTCAAAGCCCTTCACAGCATGGTCCCTCCTTACAGTCCCAGCCTTCTTCCACCTTCCTCCCCTACATGCACTCCCTGATCCAGTGACAGTGGCTTCACCCTCGACTTCATTTTCAGCAGCTCTCCTCCATTCCTGGAATGCTCTCCCACCGCATCTCCATTTCCCTGCTTTCCTAGATTCCTTCATGTCCCACCTTCTGCAAAAAGCCTTTTTATAAGCCTTGAGAACAGGGCCTTTAAGAAAAACAAAAGCGTACAGTGCCTGGAACCTAGTTATGGTAGGTGCTTAATAAATGATTACTGACTTCACTTAAGATGTTTAGGATAGCAGATAATTCAGAGCTAGAGGCAAGACCTGCAGAGAGTGAAAGTGGAGAGACTTTTGAAAAAGATAAGAAATCTTTTAAAATTCAGATATCCAGAGGGGAAAGACATCTTAGAAGTCAGGAAACCGAACTTCCTCATTTTATGACCAAGGAAACTGAGGGCCACAGTGACTTGCCTAAGGTCACACCCATAGCATATAGCCCAGGGATTGAAACCCATGTTCGAAGCCTCCAAATCTAACTCTCCCTGGTAAATCAAAAACCATTTATTAAGGGCTTCCTCTACTCTTTAAGATTATAAGTTATACTGAGGAAACTGAGGCAGAGAGGTTGGGTGGCTTGCCCAGGGTCCCACATGTATTGCATGTCTGAGATTGGATTTCAACTCAGATCCAGTTTCAACTCTTTATCCATTGTGCCGTTACGTATTAAAAGTTTCCATTGATTGATACATCTAGCTATGTGTTGAGGTAGATCTATAAATCAATGGGAATTTTATATATGATTTGTATAACTAGCTGCAAATAGGTGGTGCAGTGGATAGAGCACTGGCTTGGAATTAAGAAGACTCATCTTCTTGAGTTCAAATTTGGCCTCAGATACTTACTGGCTATGTGACCCCGGGCAAGTCAAATGACTCAGTTTCCTCATCTGAGGACAACCCCAAATAGGGTCACAAAGAGTTGGACACAACTGAACAACAAATGTGTTGAGGGCTTTATTTTTTGAGTTTGTTTTCATTTAATTTGCTCAATGTGGGAGAAGGGGGAAGAATTCTGGGATAGATTAAGAATATGCTTGTTGATTGAAAAATAAAAATCATTTTAAAAAAAAGACTGTAAGTTACGGAGAGCATGGCAACCTGCATTGGTAGAAGAATTTTCCTCACCAGGGAGTTCTCTATTCTAATGAAACCACAGGTCTAGTCTCCATTCCTTCGTGCCAGTGAGTGGGCTAAGCAACACCAGTCCCTACCTGCAAGGAGCTTACATTCTAACGAGGGAGACAATATAAACATAACTGGGCCAGAGACACCCTGCTTATGGAATAGACATTAGATAACTTTTGAGTGGGAGGGGATTCTCAGTCTTCAAGAGACTTCCCTTGGCCCCTCCCCAGTGTCTGCAGGAAACCAGATGCTGGGTGTCAGCAGAGAGGATGGCAGGAGGAGGAGGAGGGGGAGGGGAGAAGCTGGCCCAGGAGTTTTTGGGGCTCTTTTTTTTTCTCTAGGAAACTCAAGCTCCCATGGAGTAGGAGAATGCTCCTTAACTGCCACCTGCCACATCTTGAATAACATTCAGAGTCTCAGTAGCTGGGAAGGGCCCAGACCCAGCTGTCCTTGGAGCTGGGAAATAACACCCTTATGGTTTCTACTGTGCCAAAGGAACTGGCTGGCTCTGCCCCGTCCCCCACCATGTGTGTTTCCAGTATACTCACTTCCTCACTGAACACGTTACTGAATCTCCAGACGCAATTGAAAGAAGTAGGGGCTGAATCTAAAACTCACCCCTTTCCCCCAGATCCCCACCCCAGCTAAACAAACAACATTTGGCAAATAGAAACCCGGGCTTCAGAAGGGATCAGGTTATCTCATCAGGCCTGCATACAGGCTTAATTCCTCCCAACCATCCAAGCCAGAAGATGCAATTCAAACCCTAAACAATGAGGCTTGTTTGTAGACTCCAGTTCCTAAGGCAACACTCCACTGCATTTGTCAACCTTGGGCTAACCCCAAATCAGGCAGGCCTTCAATTATCCAAGACTCCCACGATGCTTTGTGGGAAGCCTGTAGATCCTTGCCTCAGTTTCCCTATTAGTCAAAAGGAGTGTCATACTGACCCTTTTCTTAACATGTTATAAGGGTTAAAGATAAAGTGCAGAAGCCATCTCTCCACTGGTCCTTCCCTTGCCCTACCCCCATTAGAAATGTTTAGGTCCCCAGACCACTAGTCTTGGGGTGGCCAGGAAGAGGAAACACTAGATGACATCTGAACACCCTTCCAAGCTAACACCCCACAATTCTATATCTGAAACGTTTCCTATTTCTTGGAGGAAGGCAGTAGGTGGAATCCCGGCCCAGGGGAGAAAGCACTTAAAAGTTTGCCAAATGCTTAAAGTGGGCCAAGGTCAAAGGAGCTAGGGAGAGTCAGGGAGGGGAAGGGCCAAGGGAAGCAATAGTAATGTGCTCCTGGTTCTCCTTTAGTCCTTTCAAGCTGTCCCTCTCACACAGGTTTTCTGCACAGAAACACCAGAAGAGAGAAGGTAATCTACAGGGGGAGGAGCCCCTCCCCCAACGTGACAAGCCCAACTGTCTACCTCAATCAGAAGCTGCAGTCAAGCCCTTTGTAATTCATCCATCTAACCCGTTCCTGGCAAAGTATCTATATTACTGGCTACAATTACACTCTTCATCAGAGTAACCACACTAAGGTATCCCACGGACAAGGCTATCAAAGTTTCTACTATAGTATCCAAGGATGGCTCCTCCCTGTATCATCAAAGTATCCATAGATAGCTATGCTACACTCTATCAAAGTATCTGTACTATTTTATCTGCTAAGATTAAAATAGTAACACTATCACAGTAGAAACTGTAGTGTCTGGTAATAGCGACAGTGTCAAAGCATCTCCCTGAGCCAACAATCTACATTGTTTGAGACGACATCCAAATGGTCTTCGTGAACAAAATATATGCACAACAGCATTAAAATAAGGCTAAAAGGGTAGGAGCCCATCATGGGGGAACGCCCTCCCAGCATGGGTGAAGATTCTTATCTCAGTCATTTCAAGAATTCTCCAGGGAATCCTTGCCTCCTGCAAAAGACTTTCCTTGGTTCTCCTAGATTATAGAGACGTCTTTTGGCGGGTGGGTCTCAGTGGGGGTGGGGGAGTGACGGAACAAAGTTGAAAAGACTAAGAGAATGTCTCTATATGGAGTTCAAGAGGGGTTTCAAAAAGCAAGCACTACCTCGAAGGCCAAGAAAGTTCGAAGCTTTCCTGGGCATTCTCCTGTGCTCTAGCAAGTGAGTGAATGCCTGAGATTTGGGTCTTGCCTGGAAAGAAGAGCAAGCGCGTGCCATCAGAAGGAGAGGAAATAAGCCACCAGCACAAAGAGTAGCTGGCCAAAACCAGGCCCCAAATTTTCCTTTCTAATAACTTACAGAAGCCCAGGGCCGACCAAGAAGTTTCCCAGCAGAGCAGCCAGCACATCTCCTGGATGGGCTGCATCCGCCCCAGCTCTCCTCTCCTCTCATGCTTTCCAAATTGTTAAACCACATGTTGGAACCATCTTGGGGTCTGGCCTCTGTGCCAGGGCCATGAATCTTCCGCCTCTCTCTTTCAGGGGCCTGGGATGAACAGCTCTGTGGGAACAGATGGGCTGACTTCCCAGGCAGTGAATCTGCAGTACCAATGCTTCTTAAAGTCCCTCTCCTGTGGGCCGCTCACATGCCCTTTCCCTCACTTGCCACTGCAGACTGCAAATCCCTGGAAGCTCTGCAAAAAATCCTGCCCTAGCATGGGGGCAGGGGAGGGGAACGGGCATAGATTGAGATCTGAAAAGGTCTTGAGAGATTGGATAATCTAATCTCATTTGACTGTGGAGGAACCTGAAGTCCAGGGATAGGAGGAGGAAGGGACTTGCTCAAGGTCACACAGGAAAGAGATTGGGTCATCTGACTCTGATTTCACGATTCTTTCCACTATCTGACTCAAATTATTTTCGGAGGATCATAGACTGGGACTAAAAGGGGCCTCAGGGCCCATCGAATCAGACCCACCAATGTGGTTGATGTTTAGTCATTTTCAGTCATGCCTGACTGTTCATGAGCCCTTTTGGTGTTTTCGTGGCAAAGAAGGTCTTCCTTCTCCAGCTCATTTTACAGATGAGGAAACTGAGGCAACAAGGTTAAGGGACTTGCCCAGGGTCACACAGCTAGTGTTTAAGGCTGTATTTGAATTCATGAGTCAGGCTTGACTCCAGGCCTGGCACTCTATCCATGGCACCACCTAGCTGCCCACTAATTTTACAGATGTGGAAACTGAGGTCCAAGGAAGTGATGTGACTTACTTAGGTGATCAGTGGCATATTCTCACTAATAAGATATAACCTTACACACCAGTCAAGAAACTAAGTTATATTAAAAAAATTTTTTTCTTCATCTCTACCCTCTATTACATAATAAGTACGTAACGGGATATTTGGTCCCTTTCAGCTCTCCAATTATATGATTCTATAGCCCTTTCCTCCAAAGCGTATGGGCTTGGGGGAGGGGAGTCGGTGCTAATCCCAGAGAAGTCACCAAGGAGTCTGAGCCCAGCTGGGGCTGTCTTTCTCTTTGGGAAGGTGAGAAGATTCCAATCATTGCCTTGTTTGGTTTTCTCAGCAAGCCCAGGGGAGCTGAGGCCTAACACTCATTTCTGTTAACTCTCATATGGCCTTTCTGACACTCAGAGGGGATGTGGGGGGGTCCCCTGATTAGAATGCTGTGGGTCAGTAAAACTGACTTTGCTGGTAACTGGAATTCATTTCTATTGTAGTATCATCATCATTTAAAAAAAAAAAAGCCACAGTAGAAAGACTGTCATCAGCAGACCTGGGTTCAAATTCAGACTGCGAGCTATGTGACCTTGGGTAATTACTAGTGTTCTCCTTCCCCGATGACCTCTCTATTATTCTCGTCCTATTTATTATGTCTTCTCTTACATATGTACCTGTTATTCCCTCTGTTGTTCCCCCCTCCCCCGTTCAAATGGAAGCTCCTTGTGGGTAAGGATTGGGCCACTCACTGTATTTTTTTTTCCTCTTTGATTTTTTTGGGGGGGGCTAGGCAATGGGGTTAAGTGACTTGCCCTGGGTCACACAGGTAGTGAGTGTTATGTGTCTGAGGCTGGATTTGAACTCAGGTCCTCCTGAATCCAGGGCCGATGCTCTATCCACTTCGCCACCTAACTGCCCCCACTCATTGTATTTGAATGGCAAGCATCCAGCTCACTGTCTGGTATACAGTAGGTGTTTAATAATAAACACTTGTCTCTGGGCCTCAGTTTCCTCACCTGGAGAGCACAGATAATCATCCTTGGCCAGTCTCTCTAGGGGGCTGTGGTCAGGCAAGCACTTTCTCTTGTAAACCCAAGGGAAGGCAGGGAAGGGAGGGGCACTCCGTCCACCCTCCATCTAGGCCAAGGCCATAGCTGCAGGGCAGCTACCCAAGACTCGGTCCAATGGCTCCCCCTTCCAGAGGGTCTCCTGCGGGAGGTCGACCATACCATTAATCACGTTTAAAGGGCTCCAAACAGGCCTGGGAGTCTAGACGTCAGACACTCTCTGGAATGAAGCCCACGCCAACAGGGACAGGACCCAACCTTCTCAGGTTACAACAAGCAGACTCTGGAAAGTCATTGAAGCAGATCTGTTGCGTCCTGGGGAGAGCAGCTCATCCCACAGCAGCAGGAGAGGGCTGCTGACTTCACAGATTCTTCCCATAGATGAGGTCAGGTGCCTAGGGGGCAGCATGGGGCAGTGGGTAGAATCCACTGGACCTACCGGGGTCCTGGAAAGGCCTGGGTTCAAATTGTGTCCCTAAAATTACTAGATGTGTGACTAAGGGCTAGTAGCTTCATGTCTCTAAGCCTCGTAAAATGGACCTGAGAATACTTACAGTACCTGTCTATCTCACTGGGTTTGTATAAAGCTTAAAGGAGATTTTGCAAACCTTAAAGCACTTTCTAAATGTCAGTTGTTATTATTCCTGCTACAGAATCTAGAGCTGAAGGAGACTTCAGTTCACAAGTTTAAAGATGTGCTTGTTGATTCATTGATTGGGTCTCTGCCTGTTCATCTATAAAAGGAAGAGCTCGGGATGGATGAGCTCAAATCTCCTCCCAGCTCTAAGATTCTGTTACTGGCAGCCTGGAGGCAGACCACGTATACATCTGCTGTCTTTGGACCAGCCTGGCCAAATTTGGAGCTTTCCAGGACCAGGCTGGTCTCTGGCAATCAATTCTTCAGCCAGAGGAGCTGCAATCTGCATCTGTGGAGAAAGACCTGATATGGATGAAACCAGAGGCTGGTAAAATATTGGAGGCAATGTAAAGGGACACAAGGAACTTGGTCTTTAGCTGAAAATAATGCCCTTGATTCTGATGCTGCTCTATCAATTGCCACAGACTGAGATCCCTGGGGCCAGGTTGGGAATTCTGGGAGCAGCTTCTGGCCTTCTAATGCCAAAAGATCCCACTTAAAAGCACTAAAACAAAGGTTCCCTCCTGGACCTGGCCTAGAGCAGCCACTCCAATGGGAGCAGTCCACTTGGCTACATCGATGCCAAGAAAGAAAATGGGATGGGCTAGGCTGGAGGGCAGGGGAAAAGGAGGAAATTGTCAACAATGTCATACTGTTTAGACAATTCTAGCTTGGGGGGACTTTTGAGATTATCTGGCATTACATAGGAGGAAGGCCCAGGGAAGAAAAAGCAGGGCCAGAGTATTGCTGACTTGCCACCTAAGAGCCATTTGAGTTTGTTAAATAGAGCAAGGTGGGACAAAGGGGTAAGTATTGGCTCAAGAGTCCAGAAGTCCAGGGTTTAGCTCTGGCCTCTGTCACCTTCAGCAGGTCACTTTAGCCTCTGGGCCTCAGTTTCTTCACCAGTAAAGTGAGTGGATAGGTCCCTTCTAGCTTTAAATATATGATTTTTCTAGAAATGGATCAACTCTTTATGAAGCTGATCTCATGAAGCTGAATCCACTCTCTATCCCCAAATCTACACAGGGTTGTCTTTGCTTTTGTTGGAGACAGGGTTTGGAATGACTAGCTGTGTATGGGTAAGTGACAACCCCTCAGAGCCTCAGTTTCCCCACAATAATCACACTACTACTCTTCTGTGGGTGAGGCAGATTGGCAAACCTTAAAGTGTCTTCCAAATGCAAGAATCTATTCTCAGTCAATTGTATTTTTGAATGTGGGAGGATGGCCCCCTCGGGAGGAGGAAGGCAGGCCTTCCAGGCATGGGGCCAAGGAGACTGCCAGGGCTGCTGGCTTCAGCACCTTACCTGTCACTGTACACTGACCGCTCAAAGACATGCACCGGCTTTTGGCCTTGTAAGAGGCTCTCTGGGTAGGGGGCCAGCTGAGTTCGCAGCCGACTCAGGAAGGAAAACGTCTGGAAGGTGTAGGACCACCGCGAGGGCTGCTGGTACATCATATCCAACAAGTTCCCCACACTCTGGGGAGGGCCAGCCTGGGGGGCAATGGAAGGGGGAGGGAAGTTAACTCACATGGGGTATTCTCCTCTGAAGCCCATCTGAAAATCAATGGGAACAATTACAAGGTATCATCTCCTTGGAAAGAAGCAGCCTCAGAGGGAAAGGATCCTTGGGCCCTAGATAGCACAGTAATTGTCTCTGTATAGAATGAGACCTTGTAGCTTTTCACCCAGGAGGAGACAATTACTTCCTTGGAGTTCTGCAATATTGGGATGGGCTGCCCTGGGAGGGAGGCTCGGGGTTCCACCACACAGGAGGCCTCCATGCAGAGGTTGTCTGAGCCCTGGTCCAGGATGAAATCCGGGGAATTCTATTGCAGAATACAGCTCACCTTGGCACTGAAATCCCCTCAGTCTGACTCCAACTTGTCTTTCCAGACTTACTCAGAGACAGCATGGGGCCAAAGGAGAAAGCACTGGCCTTGGAGTCAGGAAGACCTAAGTACCAATCTTGCCTCAGACACTTACTAGCTGCGTGACCCTGGACAAGTCGTTTAACATCTCTAGACTTGTTTCCTCATATTTAAGATAGGGAATAAGAATAAGGTCATTGGGAGGCTCAAATGAGCCAATATATGTAAAGTATGGGCTAGCAGTCCCCTTGAGGACTCTACAGTTTAGCAAAATCAGCTCTCTTGCTGACGTTGAACCTGCAAATTCCATCTCTTGCCTTGACTTCCGCACAGACTAGCCATCTTTCCCTGCTGGTTCATGAATGTGTTCCCTCCTCACTTCTCAGCCTCTTTAGAATGCCTAGCTTCCCTCAGTAATGAAGATGAGGATGAGGAGGAGGACAACGCTGTATGTTTCAATATTCCTTTAAGGACTGTATCATCTCATTTCACTCTCCCGCAGCCAGGGAGATAGGCACCATTATTACTTCCATGTCCCACATGAAGCAACTGAGGCTGGGCTGAAATGGAGGTTCTCTTCTGATCTTCTGGCTCGATGGTGGATTTTTCTGCCACAGAATAGCTGTTTACTCATCAGTCTAAGTGCTGCATCCTCCCCGGCAGAATGCAAGCTCTCGTGAGGGCCAGCTCTAGTTTTCCCTTTTGTCTTTGCTTTCTCAGGGGCTGATATCCTGCTAACAATAATTTTCAATAGGGGCAGCTAGGTGGCACAGTGGATAGAGCTCTGGCCTTGGGGTCAGGAGGACCTGAGTTCAAATCCAGCCTCAGACGCTTGACACTTACTAGCTGTATGACTCTGGGAAAGTCATTTAACCCCGATTGCCTCACCAAAAATAGCAGAAAAAAAATAATAATTTTCATTCACATCTATGTGATTTATGAAGCACTCTTCCTGTGACGTAGAGGCGAGGAAGGAGTGCATTCTAGGCATACAAAGACAAGGACATACAAGACGGATAGGGGAAATAGCAAGGAGGTCAGTTTGGCTAGGGGGGCAGCTAGCTGGCACACTGGATAGGTGCCTAGCTTGGAGTCAGGAAGACTCATTTTCCTGAGTTCAAATATGGCAGACACATACTAGCTGTGTGACCTTGGGCAAGTCACTCCAACCCTGTTTGCCTCACTTTCCTCATCTGTAAAATGAACTGGAGAAAGAAATGGCAAACTACTTCAGTATCTGTTCCGAGAGAACCCCAAATGGGGTCATGAAGAGTCAGACGGGACTGAACAACAACATCAAAGTTTGGCTGGAATATGTGAACCATCATCATCTTCAGTGAGTCTGGAAAGCTAGGCTGCAGCCTCAATGTGAAGGGCTTGAATGCACAACAGAGAAAACTGGAGTTGAACTTAGAGGCAATGGGAAGCCACTGGGACTTCTTGAGCAGCAGAGTTACATGGTCAGCTTTGTACTGTAGGAGGATCGATTTGGCATCTGTGTGGAATGTGGAGAGGGGAGAGCGCAGAGGCAGAGACCAACCAAGAGGGCCCTCCTTCAGGACAGAGGTGAAAATGGCACGAACACGGTGCATGTGAGCAGAAGGAAAGGGAGAGATGGGAGAGATGTCATGGAGGCAGAACGGACAAAAATTGACAACTGATTGGATTTAGGGAGAGCAAAGAATTAAGAATGACCATGAGGTTGAGCACCTGGGTAAGTGTAAGGATTCAACAGATGAAAATAGGAAAGTAAGAAGGAGAGAAGGGTCTGTGGATAAGGATAAGGTGTTCTGCATTAGACGGTAAGTCTCAGATAAGACATCTAGTTCTAAATGTCCAATAGGCAGTTAGTGGTGTGAGATCAAGAGAGAGACTGTGGTCGGACATATGGTTCTCAGGGCCATCTGTGCAAAGATGATAACTGCAAATAAGGCAAGAGATGTAACATGCTTCCAAACCATAAAGCATTATATAAAGTTATTACTGTTGTTGTTGGTGGTGGTATTATGACTGAACCATGGGAGCTGATGAGATCATCAAGAAAAAATGGACAGAGAGAGAGAGGAGACACACATACACACAGAGAGAGAGAGAGAGAGAGAGAGAGACAGAGAGAGAGACAGAGAGAGAGAGACAGAGGGACAGAGAGAGACAGAGGGACAGAGAGAGAGAGAGAAGGGAAAAGGACCCAGAGCAGAGACTTTGGGGACACCCATGGTTAAGGGTGTCCTATTTGGATGATGAACCAGAAAAGGGGCCTGAAGAGAGTCCAGACAGGGAGAAGGAGAACCAAGAGACAAGAAAACCCAGAGAAGAGAGAACATCTAGGAAGAGAGGGTGGTCCATGTGTCAGATGTGTGGGAAAGGTCAAGAAGGAGGAGAGTGGAGAAAGACCAAATGATCTTGGCAATTTAGAACACTGGTAACTGTAGAGTGATCAGTTGGATGAGGTCAGAATCCAGATTGCAAGGGTTTGACAAATAAAGGAAGTAGAGGCAGTGAGTATAGATGGATGGTTTTTTCCCCTAGGAACGAAAAGGGTAGGAGAGTTATAGGACAACAGCCTGAGGGCCAAGTGAGCGGTTTGTTTGTGTGTTTTTATTTATTTATTTATTTTTTAAGTGAGGCAATTGGGGTTAAGTGACTTGCCCAGAGTCACACAGCTAGTGAGGGTTATGTGTCTGACGCCAGATTTGAACTCAGGTCCTCCTGACTTCAGGGCCAGTACTCTATCCACTGTACCACCTAGCTACCCTGTGTGTTTTTATGAATGGGAGAAACTTTGGCATAATTATAAAGATCAGGTAAAAAACCATTAGAGAAGGAGATATTGGATAGCTAGGTGGCACAGTGGATAGAGCTCTGGCCTTGGAATCAGAAGGACCTGAGTTCAAATCTGGCCTCAGACACTCGACACTTACTAGCAGTGTGACCCTGGGTGAGTCACTTAACCCCAACTGCCTCACCAGAAAAGCAAAACAAAAAAAAAACACACACAAAAAAGGAAATATTAAAATTTGGAGGAGGACAAATATAAGGTTAGGCTGCCAGGAGATGAGAGGGGGACTCAAGGACCCAAGTAGGGATGTTAGCCTTGGCAAAAGGGCCACCTCTCACCGTCTCACACCTATCGGATTGGCTAATATAACAGAAAAGGAAAATGACAAATTTTGTTAAAGATGTGCGAAAATCAGGACACTAATGAACTGTTGGTGGAGTTGTGAATTGATCTAACCATTCTGGAGAGCAATTTGGAACTGTGCCCAAAGGGCAACACAACTATGCATACTCATTGATCCAGCAATTCCACTACTAGGTGTATATCCCAAACAGATCATAAAAAAGGGAAAAGGACCCACATGTACAAAAATATTTATAGCACTTCTTTTTGTGGTGGCCAAGAACTGGAAATTGAGGGAATATCCATCAACTGGGGAATGGATGAATAAGTTGTGGTATATGAATGGAATGGAATAGTACTGTACTATAAGAAATGATGAGTAGTGTGCTCTCAGAAAAATCTGGGAAGACTTATATGAACTGATGCTGAGTGAAGTGAGTAGAAGCAGGATAATATTGTACACAGTAACAGCAACATTGTGTGATGATCAACTATGAATAACTTAACTCTTCTAAGCAACATAATGATCCAAGACAATTCCAAAAGATTCATGATGGAAGATGCTATCCAAATCCAGAGAAGGAACTGATGGAGTCTGAATGCAGACTGAAGCGTGCTATTTTCACTTTTTTTCTTCTGTAGTTTTTACCTTTTGTTGTGTTTCTTCTTTTACAACATGGCTAATATGGAAATATGTTTCACGTGATTGCACATATATAACCTATATCAAATTGTTTACCATTTTAGGAAGAGGGGAGGAGAGGAAAGGGAGGGAGACAATTTGAAACTCAAAATTTTATTAAAAAAAAGAATGTTAAAAATTTTCTTTACATGTAATTGGAAAAAAATAAAATACTATTTGGAAGGAGGAAAAAAAGAAAGGTCATCTCTTCATTAGACTGGAGCAAAGGAGCAGAGAATAGAGGGTGACGCAAAGGGATTTTGAGTTAGAAGGAAGTGGGAGAGAGAGCTCTGAGATAGATCTTTATTTTCCCAGTAAAATATGAGATAATATCTTGCTGAGAGGGATAGGGCAGAGGGTGGTGTGGGAGGCTTGAGGAGCAAAGAAACTGCTTTGAATAGCTGCAATGGAGAATTCCTAAATTAGAGAAGAGTAGAAGACTTCTCTGACCCAGAGGGCCCAGTTGAGATTCCATGACATAAACTTGTCCTGGACCCAGTCAGCATGGCTGTGCAACTGCCTCCAGCATGATTCAACAGCATAAGGCTATTGGCAATAAAGTGCATGACAGAAATCAGCAGTTGTTTATTTCTTATCGACCATAGTTGAACTGGTTACCCATGGAGTCAAGAATGGAATGGGAAGAAAGTGAAACCTGAGATAGCTTAGAAGTGAATTTGGAAGAATAGGAGAGTAATGGATGATCAGATAAAGGAATATTAGAATTATTGATCACAGAAATAAAATATCTCTGAGTGATGGAGAGATCGAGGATATGACCATCCCTGTATATGGCTACAATGCAGGGAAAGTAGAGGCA